AAAATGTGGGATATAGGCCGTTCTAGGCATGGACACAGCCTGACTAAGGTAGAAGCAAGAAAGGAAAGAATGAGATGAGAGAACTGATGAGTAGCCTTGTTTGGCTAAAACGTAGATTACATGCTGAGGAATCTGCAATTAAGTCTGGAAAGGTAGGTTTGGGAGTCTTATAATGAGAGACTTCAAATGCCAATATTAGAATACCTAAAGGTTTTGAGCAAAGGTGCGATATGATCAGATCCTGTGTGCTAGGAAGATTATTTTGGCAGCTATTGAAGGATGTGTTGAAGATAGAAGACTAGAGGCAGGAAAACCAATTAGTTGGGGCCACACTGAGGATATTTCCTATTGGAAAGCTAGGATGGAAACTGAGACATAGAGGAAGAGATGAGCTGTGTGAATAGAGTAGTAGTACGGTGCTCTGGTTAACTGAAGGTTCAGCACAGACCCTTTTGTGTTCTAACTCTGTTGCAAGTCTTTCTAAGAAATATTCGTCTATATTCCTACCCTAATAAGTACATTGCAGTGAACTTTTCATTTCTGGTTGAGAATCATGAAGTGCCTTGGCTTCATCATTTTTAACATCACACCTCATTGCTTTACTATAATTTTAGTCATACAAGGTATAGGAAATTGACCTGAATATATCCACTGTATATCCTGGAAATCAGTTTTCATTCTAATTTTTCCCCTTTTTACCCCCGCCCTGACAATTACAGTTAACTGAAGATTCTGATTAGTTCAAATTTTACTATAGGTTACTTGCTTGAAAAATTTGAAAAAGAAGAAAAGTTAGTAAGTGGAAGGACCAATTGAGGGGAAAAAAGGCATTTTTGAGGGCTGATTGTTGGAAACTGAAGAGTTTGCAGGTTTCTTCAGCCTTTCCTCATCTAGCTGTCTGTCACTTAGGGAAACACTGCAGCAGTTAGGTGTCATGTAAAGTAAATAACTGAACTCATCCCGTGTTCATTCAGTAAGCACTCACCTCCCTTTTTTTATACAGAGAGTCATTAGAAGTCCCTCTGGTCCCTCTTCCAAACTCTTTGATTGATGTTTTGGACTATATGTTTTTAAGTTAACTAATTAGGTCTTAAAAAGTGATTGGGGGGAGGGGCAGCTAGGTGGTACAGTAGATAGAGCATGGGCCCTGGAGTCAGGAGGACCTGAGTTCAAATCTGGCCTCGGACCAGACACTTGACACTTAGTAGCTGTGTGACCCTGGGCAAGTCACTTAACCCCAATTGCCTAAAAGAAAAAAGAAAAAGTGATTGGAGAGTGAGTTTTTAGGATAGGTGTAATTTATGGTCAGTTTACTTAGTTTAAATTATGTAGCATCAAATGGAGCTTTTCTTATTTTGATTTTAACATTTTTAATGCAGGTGTTTTGCTTATCCACTTATGCTGAAAGATACATTCCTTTATGACTTCTGAAGATAATTTAGAAGGAATAGCTAGGAAGGCAGAGACAAGAGCTTTGAGAGGTCCAATGAGAATAAAAACTGGGTCATTGATTATTATTGGCTGACTTTGTTTAATTATATATACATTCTTCATTGCCTTTTTAAAAAATCTTACAGTTCATGTGATTATACACTTAAGAGATTTTGTTTGTTGTTTAATCGTATCTGACTCTTTGTGACCCCTTTTAGGGTTTTCTTGGCAAAGATACTGGAGTAGTTTGCTATTTCCTTCTCTAGCTCATTTTACAGATGAGGAAACTAAGGCAAATAGGGTGCAGTGAGTTGCCCAGGATCACACAGCTAGTAAGTGTCTGAGGCTGGATTTGAACTCGTAAAAATGAGTCTCCCTGCCTCCAGGCCTGACACTGTCTCCATTGCAGTGCCACCTAGCTTCCCCACTTAAAGAGCTAGAAGGGACCTTATAGGCCATCTAGTCCACTCCTCTCATTTAACAGTGAAGAAACTGAGGCCCAGAGAGGATAAGTGACTTGCCTGAGGTCACACATATAGTAAGTGACAAAGCTAGGATCTGAACTCAGGTTATCTGACTCTTGGAATCTCATAATTTTCACATGAAATTGATGCCTTATCATCTATACTGAATTCTCAGTTATTTATGCTCAATGGAAGTCAACTCAATGGCATTTAGAATCCAAAAATGATAATAATTCACATTTACATTGCACTGATACTTCTTGGGAAGAAAAATATGCTTTGCTGTGTGGGGGAGGAGGGTGTGTCACTGAATATATGGGTATGTTTGGTGTATTTATTCTTAGACATTGCCATTGCCAAGCAGAGTATAAGGTAGATTTGGGGCACAGTGAGTAGAGCAGTTGAGGTGGAGCACTGGTTTTTATTAGGTAAGTAGTAAGAGTTAAGGCTGGAGCTAGATGAGGACTTTGAATCTCAAGCTAAGGAGTTAAGACTTGATCTTGTCACAAATTACCATCGTAGTAGCTGAATGCAGACTTTTGAACAGGGTAAAATGACTTACTGGGAATACATTTGTAAAGATCTCAATAACTCTTCTGTAACACATTTGCAGCTATGTCAGCAGATGTAAATTGGAAATTTAAATTTCTTTTCCTTTGGCTGTTTTGTTTCTTTTAAACAGCTGTGGGTAGGCTGGATAGTTTAGAAAATTGCTGGTATGCTCTCCAGTTTCTTCACCAGTCTTGAGTTGACTGTGGATGCTGCATAAAACCAGTGCTCATGAACACTGGTTGAATAAAATGTCTGTGTAGATATATACCAGTCCTTTCAACAAAATCATTATCATCCTCACCCCAGAAGGTGAACTGATAGCAAATAAAAGCAGCAAATTTTTCATTCACTTGTTTCAAGTTTCATTTCATTTGTTTAAACCATTTAATTATGGCAAGTTTACATGCATAACTATACCTGAAATCTTTTAGCACATTTTAGACTTTCTGTCATTTTTGTTATATTTAACAGAGGTGAGTACTCAAAGTATTTGTCATGTTTCACCCATTTTATGTTCTCCCTATTTTTGCATGTCAACAAAATAATTTATTTTTTCCAAATGATCAATGTCACATTATTTATATGGGCAACAGCAGTAGCTCTGCTGCTTACTACCTTTGAGCAAATCATTTACACTGAGTGGGCCTCAGTTTCCTCCTCTCTAAAATGTGAGGCTTTAGACTGGATCACCTTAAAGGTCCCTTCTAGCTCTTTAATTCTGTGATCCTCCAAGACATCATGACCAAATCTGTTTGAATGCCTCACTCACAAGCTGCCTACTGAAGAAATCATCAGGAATCACATTATAGTGGCTTTTTTTCCCCTATGGGAATTCCTGAAGTAACTCTGAGGTTCCTCGTAAGTTATTTTGGCAAACGGCATTTCCTGAGTACTGGTGACAGGGCCTGTAGCATTGATACAGTGGCTCCCAAATTTCCAAGATTCACCTATAATAAGGAATTGTTTTGTTATAACATATATTAACACATTAATGTGTTTCAAAATGATAGATTGGATAAGAGTTGGGAAGATTGGAAAATAAGCTTTTTGCTGAATGCATAATCATCTCTAGTTCACAAGAATGGCTTAAGGGAGTAGTTTTTTGAAATACAGTACAATAGCTAACATTTATATAGTGCTTACTATGTGCCAGGCACTGAGCTAAGGGCTTTACAATTATTATCTCATTTGATCCTCACAACCACCCTGGGAGGTAGGTATTATTGTCATCCTCATTTTACAGGTGAGGAAACTGAGGCAAGCAGAGGTTAAGTGACTTGCCCAGGATCATACAGCTAGTTAGTGTCTGAGGCTGGATTTGAATTCAGGTCTTCCTGATTCCAGGCCTAGTGCTTTATCCATTGTGCCACCTACTTGCCAGCATGGCAGCAATATTCATGGGCATGTTCTTTACCTTAGAATTAAGGAGAAGGAATAGAAAGAAATTTCTGAGCTAGGAAATGTTACCATCAAAGACAAAAAAAAGAAGAAAGGAGTGTTCACAAGTTCACTTAATGGTCTACAGTCTCATCTAGTAAAAAAAAAAAAATCCTCAGTAAAATAAAACAAAGTTCCAAAATACTTAATTGTAATCAATTTTTTACTCTTTAAAAAAAACACACTTTTAAAAAAAGTACTGCAGTTAGGAGTTAACTATTCATGCATTTGACCTTAATATATGATGTGAACATTAAGTATTGTAGACTGTTGAAATTGAAGAAACTTCATTATATATGTAGCTAACTAAACTCCAGATATCTTTGAGGTATTAAATATTAAACTGACTCCCCTACAGCCACCCCTGAAAACAGATATCTTACTAGGTCTCCACATCCTTTATGATGTCTTTTCACCCTAAATTTAGTGGTAATTTTTGCCCAAAGATAGGTTTCAGTTTGTGTTCTTCTATGAGATAAGTTATTTTTATGATAAAGGGTAGTTTTCCTTGCATACTGTTTTGTGTAGTTTTGTTCATCTAGAGCATGGCTTCTTCACCTAGGACCTTGGAACTTGTGTAATTTTTAAAAATATTTCACTGGTTGTATTTCAGTGTAATTGGTTTCTTTTGTATAAAATAATCCTATGTATTTTATCTTATACACTTAAAAACATTATTCTGAGAAGGGTTCCATGGACTTTATGAGCCTACTAAAAGGGCCCATGGCAGAAAAAAAGGTTAACTCCTAAACTAAAGGAATCCTTGCTTGTAAGACAGTTGGGGGGGGGGGGCGTTGTCATAAGCCCCTTTTGTAATCATTATTATTCTGGCCACATAGCTTTCTATATGAAGCTTCTTAATAGTAGTGTAGACTTTGTCAGTTCTTAACTAGAAAACAGAAAATGACTTTACAATTGAGATTAATTGGAAATTATTTCCAGGAGGGAAGGACCAAGAAAGGAAATAACATTATTAGTTTGAATATTGTATTGACTCACCTGTCTTCCTTGGTGGAAATTGACGTGCCTCTAGTTTAAATGTCATGGTCTAAATGAAATCTTCCATACTAATAATATTCATGGGGGGGGGGTGTTTTTTTGTGTGTTTTGCTCTAGATGTGCTCTTTATGCCATTGTCCAGGAGCAACAATTGGCTGTGATGTGAAAACGTGTCGCAGGACTTACCATTACCACTGCGCATTGCATGACAAAGCTCAGATACGAGAGAAACCTTCACAAGGAATTTACATGTAATCATTTTTTCATATTTACCCTCTTTGTAAAGAAATCTCCAAAAATCTGAACGTCTTCTCTATATAACCAAGCATATCATCCTCTCGAGGTACTTTAACTATATGGAATTCACTGCACAGAGGAAAACTGTAGGAATTTTGATACTCAGCTCTTAGCCTAACTGTCTCATGGCTATGAAGAGTGAAACATCCTGCTAGTTTTCTTAATTGAAAATGAGCTTAATATCATTTGCTTACTTGGTAATTTTTAACTGCTTCATTTTATAGGGTTTATTGCCGAAAACACAAGAAAACTCCACACAACTCTGAAGGTAAAACTCTTCAACCGTCTTCTAATTTCAAGAAGATGCGTTAATTGAGTGAATTGGATTGAACCAATATATATTGTTAAGAAATATTTGAAAATCCTAAATGGAGTTGGAAGAATTAAGTAAAATGTTAAGATAAATTTAATATACAGAGTGAAATGATGAGAATTCTCGAATAAATATCTGTCCTAAGGTTCTTGTTGAAGGTGATATGCTATTCTTTAGGAAGAAAGTTTTTGGTGGATGATTTATAAGTGCAGGTAAGTGAATTGATAGGTTTTTAAAGTAGTAATTAGTATTACTGTTGACCATAATATTTCAGTTACTGTAGAATATAATTGAGATTCAGAAGATGAATAGTTTCTGTGATTGTCAAACCTATTAAATTAAAAACCACATTATGATACTTTTTTAAAAAATCATTCCAACCATCAGCCTGAGCCAGCAGAAAATGAGTAAATTTACAGTATATACTGATTTTCCTTTTTAAGTTTATATAAAACTGGATAGTCAGATTTCTATGTACGAAATTGCGCGTGATTTTTGGAAAGCATGGAAAGTAACAGCTTTGATTTATTCTATATTGTCAATATAAAATGCTCTTAAGTTTAATCAGGGATTTTATTTAATTTTATTCTTACCATCTAGATTTTGGGGGTTCCAGACTTGTGATATCATTGGTGTAGAGAAACTCCTTTGATTAATGCAGGTTGGCAATTTATCTGTACTTCATAGTCTCAGAGAGTTGCCCGCGGGCACTGAGATTTGATGACTTTGCCATGGGCAGTCATATAGCAAGTATGTGTCTGAGACAGGACGTGACCCCAGAACTGCCTGACTCCATGGTCAGCCCTTTAGCCACTACATCTCTTTTCCTCCTACCATTTAGGTTAATGATAGAAACAACTGATAGTTCTCTTTCCTAGCCCCAGTGAATGTGTCAGTACAAATCAAAATGATATAAGTACCCTTATCTCTTTGGAATTTTTGTCTTTTATAAATGACTTACTGTCCATTTGTGACTATAATTTAATACAAATATGCCAGTTAAATTAGAAGTTTGATTTGATTTAGAATAACTTTAACTCTTATAGATATAAGGAAGTATGTTGACTGTTTAGTTACCTAGATGTCTAGAGGTATTGGTTATCAAGGCCTACTGTATAAACTGTTCCCTGCAAGGTAGATTGTAGATAAGTGATTGGTACAGAGTGCTTTTGTAGCATAAATGAATTTAGATTTATAAGCTTTTATGGATTTTAATTTAAAACTAGAATTAGAATTTAAAAATTTTTGTTATCTGTAGAAACTACTCACTTTGGCTGCTGCTATGAATTTTATCAATCTGTTCAGAAACATTGCCTAATAGAGACTGGTTCCTTTTTACCTTTTTATGGGTTTATTTCTTGGTTTGCTGGTGTGGGGTATTGCCATCATGTGACAAAGAAAAGAAAGAACTGTTTTTCTTTTGTTTTACTGTTTTGGGAAAACAGATTTAAGGTCTGAGGAATGATTTTGAATGTCTCTCTATGCAGCAGGAAAATTTATCCAAGAGTAAAGGAAGGCATGTGTTCAAACTTCCCAGGACAGCTTTTTTTTTTACTAGAAGACCTAAGCTATCTTTATCATCTTCCCCAAAGTCAATCTTATTTCCACAAAAGCAAGAAAAACTGTTGTTAGTTAAATGCTTACTATTTTTTATAGTAAGATTATTAGGTTTGATACAGTAAAGGGGTGTGTGTGTGTGTGTGTGTGTGTGTGTGTGTGTGTGTGTGTGTGTGTGTGTGTTTAGTTAGGTTCGGTATAGGCCCAGCCTACCTCATTTTAGACAGAAAGACTCATCACCAGGTTGGCCTTAGGGTGATGAATTTTTTCAGTTAACAGCAACTCTTGAAGAGAAACCCCTTTATCTTAGAGAAACTGTGATCTGTATTAGCAGAAAGAGTATTCACACGGATGAAATCACAGATCCTTGAGGTAGTGAAATAAGAAATCAGCCTATATATGCTGCAGAACACAAACACAAGAGGCACCAATATATGCTATAGTTAAGCTTATTTTACAAGACTTGGAATTTAATTTTATTAAGTATCTCTTTGGCCTAAATATAGACCATACGCCTAAAGTAAGATCTTTGAAAGGAAAAAGGACCAAGGTATACCCCAAAAATGAACAAGGCTAAGCTGCAGTAAGGTTGATAAAGGTATTATCTTGACTGTAGCTTTGTTTCCATGACATAACATTTGTTCCTATGAGAAAACAGAATCTACTTTGTGGTCTGGTTTCCAGGAATCTGTTGCATGAATGAACAAGTACTGCCTGTATATAGGAATGCACTAGAGCCTTGTGTGCTAGCTTCATAACCACGTACTCTCTGTTAGATAGATATACACTTTGCCAGTACTTAAAATGGCTCATATGTAGGCCATTCCAGCTTATTATATCAGGTCAGTTTGATATGCCATGATATTAATTTCTTCACTTAATATAATAGAATTTTAAAATAGTAAAACCTTGTAATTATGTCACCAAGAGTCCTATGTTTAACAACTCTTTTCATCTTTTTTCTCGCAGTTACAACCTAGAATAGTGGAAATAGTTTTGAGCTACCATTCTAGGATACTAGTCTGGATATTTTACAAGGCCAAGTTTGGAAACTAAATTTATGTGACTCGCTTGCTTGGTCTACCATTAGTTTGCTTTGTCGATACCTGTTCTTAGGGACAGCCTGCTGTGTAGACAGCTTCCAATATGGCCCGTCTTGAAGAGTACATTATTACCTCTCCCCCTTCTCCACTGCTACTCGCTGGCCTGTGCAAACCAGCAAAAAAGCAAGACCCTTCTGGATTGGGCATTGCACAGAGAACTTTGGTGGGGGGGGCGGGACCCAAAAACCAAGGAAGAGGGAAATCTAGGCCTGGATGAGGCACCATAGTTAGGGGCCCTAGGTGACCAGGTGTCAGGGAGATAGCATGAAGGACACACTCATATCTATCAGTTCAGTAAACAGTAAGCACTTACAAGACACTGTGATACAAAGACCAAAATATGAGGCCACCCTTACCTGCACTTCAGAGTTTCCCCAAAGGCCTACCTAGCCTGTTGTTAGAAGTAATATATACCATTAAAAATTAGCAGTGGTAATCGAAAGTATGCACTGTGCCACTAAGATTACTTAGATCAAGGTGCTATTCAGGCTAGTGGTATCACTCATTTTTCTCATCATTTTATGCTTTGTGCGTGTGTGTGTGTGTGTGTGTGTGTGTGTGTGTGTATGTATGTGTGTGGCTAGAATATTTAAGCATAATCATAGTGGTTTGGGGGTTTTGGGTTTTTTTTCTGCCAGTGTTACCCTATTATGGAAAAAGCATCATTTTGGCAATAACTCAATCTTATTGTCATTTTTTTTAATTAGTGCTTTATTAAAGTGCTAAAACCATCGAACATTAATTGAGCAACTACAGAGAAACTGACACTGTAATGAGTGCATTGAACAGTGCCATTGTTAGATAGCCACTCTTTTTTTCCATTTTCTACCACTCACCATAGGAATTGCAGGCTTTTATGCTAGGGATTGAAGGGAGATTGAGCACATCATGAATTTCACATCTCCGAGGGCGAGTGCTGTAATTCCTGTGTTGAAGGAGGAAAAAAATTTCGCCCACTGTAGAGATATTCATCTTTAAACTACCCACCCTAGGGATTTGTAGCAGATCATGATCACAAACCAAGTTCTACTTTAAACTGTCTTAACTTTAACTCTTCTGTTATACCATTTAAGACCTCCATCACCTACAGTAGCTTTAGATAATTTCAAAAGTCCCATCTTAATCACTGCTCATCTTTGTATGACCTGCATTGAAAAGTAATAGGCAGAATTTAAGTTGCATGTAGGTTTATTTTGTAATATTTTATTAAAATAAAATTAAAAAGTTAGGACATTTTATATCATCCTCACAGTGTGAAGAACTATGACACACTTGAATCCACTTAGTTAAATTCACTTTCAGTATCACATTAGGAGGGGCAGCTAGCGGGCACAGTGGATAGAGCACTGGCCCTGGAGTCAGGAGGACCTGAGTTCAAATCTGACCTCAGACACATGATACTCACTAGCTGTGTGACCCTAGGCAAATCACTTAACCCCAGTTGCCTAGCCAAAAAAAAAAAAAAAATAGGGCAGCTAAGTGGCACAGTGGATAGAGCACCAGCCCTGAAGTCAGGAGGACCTGAGTTCAAATCCAGCCTCAGACCAAACACTTGACACTTACTAGCTGTGTGACCCTGGGCAAGTCATTTAACACCAATTGCCTTAAAAAAAAAAAAAAAACAAGTATCACATTAGGTTATTTGGTCATCGCACATAACCACAGCCTACTCTTTGGGCACTGATAAAAGGTAGGGCCACTAATAAAGAGCCCCAAGTGAAAACTAACATAGGCCTTTTTCACTCATTTTCATTTTAAAGAGGCTGAGATTCAGGGAAATTACTAGGAAGAGATGAAAGTATTGGATTGGTCCCAGAATTTCCCCTCCTCACCCATGTACAAGACTTGATTTAATAGGAACTGTAGCAGCATAAAGAAAGAGTAATTAGGAATTCAGAATTAAATACTGTCTAGTCAGTTGGACGAATGATTGAATTATCTCTTATTTCTAGTTATCTCAATCTTGTGGAGGTAAATACAGATTGTTTGCAGTGTAGCTCTCTAGAGCCAGACAGACAAGTTCAGTAGGAAAAACCATGAGGCTCTGTATGCCATTAGAGTATGATCCAGAGGTCTTTGTGGCCATGCTGGAAGAGGAAAAACCAAGCTTTCCACTCAGTTATTTCAGTTTTCTTCCCTGCTTCCTTTTAACTGTCCTTAATTGTTGTAACTGCTATAATTCTGAGTGTGGTTTAAGTCCTAACTCGGCCACTTGCTAGCTATGTAAGTCATTTTACTAACTCTTTGAGCCTCAGTTTCCTCATCTGTAAAATGCAGATGATATTTGCACTACAACTACCTCACGTGAACACTGTGAACCTTCAAGTCCTGGATGAATGTGATCTGCTGTTATTCTTCCCATGACATTTACAAGTATGTAGGTCAGTTCTGCCTGTGTGTAGTTTTCTGATGGCTTAATTCTCTCATTATTTATTTCCCCTTTAAAATTCCCCTCTCTACATGCTGGAATGTGAAGTGTGAGATCAGTGTTCAGTGATTATTAGAGACAGTACCTTCATGTAAAGGAGCTAGAACACTTACTGCTTTTTGCCAGTGGGAGGAGACCAAAGGACACGGCTTCCTCCCAAACTGCTATTGTCATTGGAATAGTGATGGTGGCAGCAGGAGAAAAGAAGGCCTTAAATAAATGACCATTTGGACGTGGTCCTGTAACAGGTGGTATCGAGAACAATTCAGATACTTGTATAAGCACCCCTGGCCTGTATGCTTTCCTAGTCACTAGTTAAGAATTTTTACACTGAGCTTGTGATTAGGAATTTGGAGTTTGGCTTCTCTGGAGGGGTACCCTGGGATGTGCCAAGCCCTCAGGAATGGGTACTCTCACAGCAGCTGCTGCACCAGCTCCTGCCACTGCTTCAAAAGGCCAAAGCACCCACCCTGCTAGAGTTGTTCAGGTCGTGGCCACTGATAAGAAAGCAGTCATAACTGCTACTACTTTGGGGAGTGCCTCTAGTGACCCTTGGAAAATCCATAAAATTGGTAGCCATGGCTACTGAGGTTTTGCCTGGAGCAACTGTTGCCGAAATGTTTCAGGCCCGAGGAGATCTTTCTTCAATTGATAGGAATCCTACATACAGAAAAGGTAAGTAATGGAAGAGTTTGGTTCAACATTTAAAGACAATAATCTTAATATCTCGTGTTTCTTATAGTTTAAAAAAAAAACCATCATACTGCATTGGTCCTTCTTGAATCATGAAATAGATACTGTTAGCTATTGAAAAACATCTAGGAGAGAATGAGATAGTGAAAATATTTGCATTTTGAAAATTATTGAGCTTCCTTTGTTTTTTAGAAGGCACGATGAATTCTTTTGAACTCAATATTTTCATCTGTTTCTGTGAAGAATAAGTAATTATTGCTGCAGTAAGGTACAGAAACATAGTCTCTTAGACAAATCCAGTTGTATGTAGGTAGCATCTTAGACCTTCTCTCCCTTGACACATAATACCTTTTAAATATTTTGAAAAGAATTAGCATCTGCAAGAATAGGAATCACTGTGCTTTCTTAGTAAGAAATTAATCAGTGAAATGGTAAGACAGGAGATTGGCAGTGACCTGTGGAAAAGTAAACAGGAAGGAAAGAAAAAAGCTTGCAGGAACAGTACTCTCAAATTGTCCTTCTTTTTCTTTCTTTTTTGATATTTAAATGATCAGTTGCTTAGGCTCTTTTTAAAAAAAGCACTTTTTATAGGCCAAATATTAGACAAGTGAGCATTCAGTTACCATGTTAGTTTTCTTCAAGCATAGTGCTTTGCACATAGTAAGTGACTAAAATGCTTTTGCATCCATCTATCAAGATTTTTCAGTATAATTTAACATCTTACATATGTTAGACACATAAATATATGAATGAATGGATATATTTCTTTAATGATAGCTATCCAAGTCCAAGAAGGGAGATCTAAAATTGTGAAATATTGAAAAACTACCTAGGAAAACAGTCATTGATTCCTTAACCCCGTGCTTAATGGGATAAAAGTTACATATGTAACTTTTAAGTGTTTCTAATTGCTTATATGTATAGAGGTCATTGCTAACAGATTTTCTACTGCTTGTTCCTTTTTCAAAGTGGGTCAGGAATGCATGTAGTATATAAACAGCTGGCTTGATTTGATTGATCAAAAGAGAGCCTTAGAGCTTTAAAGAAAGCAACATAGTTTGCTAAATTCAGTCACGTGATTTCCTTGGCAGACATAAGTTTATTTTACAGTTGTTAAAGTAGTATCAATACTTCTGTTTCCTTCATCTCAATTACGTAGTTCTTTTCATATAAGTTAGTATCTAGGTAAGTATGCTGTTATGATTGAAGGTTATCTAATTTCATTAAAAAAAACCAATATGAAGCAAAGCTTTCTAGGAACCTAAAATAACTAGAAATTTACATATGATCTTTTTAAAAAATCTTAACTAGTAGTAGAATTTGAAAATCTTCTGTATTGAGTTATGTGTTTAGATCATAAGAGTATAAATGCATGTTTTCTAGCTAGTACGTTTGGAGGAGAGTGTGATTAGATAAGGACTTTAACATTTGTTAAATGCCTCTGACATGTTTGATGCTTTTTGATGCTTTGGAATATATCAAAATTAGTCCCTCTCCTAGAATGTAACTTGCATGCTAAGGAAGAATTTAAACTCTAAGGACAAATAGTCATTATTGCTAGATTGATTTATGTATACTTTTCCTTAAATTTTAAGCCGCTGATGTAGAAGAGAGTATCAATGAACATGAATTGGAGCCTTCATCACCCATGGGAAAAAAGAAGAGTCGCAAAGGAAGGCCAAGAAAAATGATTTTAAAGGGGCAGTCAGAAGATAATAGATCTACATCCTCTCATGGCACAGATGAAATAGAGAGCAGTTCCTATGTAAGTAGAATTTAAGTGTATCCTTATTCATTTTGTCACTTTTAATATTATGGTTTATCAGTTGAGAAGATGTCCTGCTATGAAATAACAAAAGCTTGAGTCACTGACATGGATTTTCTAAAAATTGATTTTTTTTTTTTGGGGTGGGGGTTGACTTTCAGAGAGAGAGGTCTCCACACAGAAGCAGTCCCAGTGATACCAGGCCTAAATGTGGATTTTGTCATGTAGGTGAAGAAGAGAATGAAGCAAGAGGAAAGCTTCATATATTTAATGCCAAAAAGGCAGCTGCGCATTATAAGTGCATGGTAAGCATGGTTTCTTATGTGTGGTTTGTAAATATGTCCTTCAAATGTTCAATAAATGTATATCTTGGGGCTGCTAGGTGGCACAGTGAATAGAGCACTGGCCCTGGAATCAGGAGGACCTGCGTTCAAATATGGCCTCAGACACAACACTCACTAGCTGTGTGACTCTGGGCAAGTCACTTAACCCCAATTGCCTCATACAAAAATATAATAAAATAAAAACAAATTTATATCTTTTGACTAAGGGAAAATAATTCTTACTGGAATTAGCACTTTCTATCAAATTGTATTAATTGCTGTGAAATATTATATTCAGGGGATTCTGATAAAATTTTCAAGTAATTTTTTGGTGAGTTGCCAAATATAGGAATTTTTCCTATTATGCTTTTTTTTTTTGGTGAGGCAATGGGGGTTAAGTGACTTGCCCAGAATCACACAGCTAGTTAAGTGTCAAGTGCTTGGTCTGAGGTCAGATTTGAACTCAGGTCCTCCTGACTCTAAGGCCGGTGCTCTATCCATTGCGCCACCTAGCTGCCCCTTTTTTTTTTTCTTTTTTAAACTGCCTGTTCTGTAGCCTGGAGACTTGCCGAAATAAAATGGTCTCTAAGCTCTTGGGTGTATTTCCCTTTATTTTACTTAGTCAGAATTTGCAGTAATCATCATTCTCTAGCCCCTCTCCCAAAAGCTCTATGGCTTAGTGAGTGTTAGTGACCAAAGATCGTGACTTGGCTCATGGTCATAAATCCTGCATTTTTCAAGCTACTCACATCATTTATGCTGAGAGTTATCATTTAGGCAAGCCTTTCAAATGTGGAGAAAAGATGAAGCAACGTGGCTGTTGCCTTCAGACCTAAAAATATTTCCAAATCAAAATATTACTTATTGCCAAAATGAGCCTTAGTGTTTATGTCCTTGGTCTTCCTTTTGGCAGGCCTGCCTGTGAGAATACAAAAATCCTTGTATTTTATCCATAAACAAAAGTAATAGAATGTCTTTTTCTATTATACTTTTTCCTTATCCTTCATCAAAAAGAGATTCTGGATTTTAACGTCCTTGGATTTCTCTTCCTCTAGTTGTTCTCTTCTGGCACAGTTCAACTTACAACAACATCAAGAGCAGAGTTTGGTGACTTTGATATTAAAACTGTCCTTCAAGAGATTAAGCGTGGAAAAAGAATGGTATGTTCTTTTCTCTCCCTCTTTTGATACCAGGAGTGTTTGCTGTTTATCTTTCTGCTGTATATTTAGAACATAATTTCAAATTCATCCAGGCATTGAAAAACCTGGATATGAAGTTGCTCTACTATTATGACAAAGTACATTTTTGTAGATAGATGATATTGACCTGTTTGGGGAGTCAATGAGTGGATGGTGTTGACTACTTCCTTTCAGCATAAATCCTATACTGAGCCATGTCATTAGAGAAATGTGATTGATTGATTTCAGGTTATTTTGTGAGCAATGGACATGAACTAACACATTCAGTGATGCAATCTCAAGTGTTTCTAATTGTGATTTAAGCAGAAGGGGTTGTTTTTCAGATATGTGAAACAAGCTTAGTGACCCCTAGTGAGGCATCCATTTTAAGCACACATGTATAGTCTGGTGGCTCAGATATCCATCTTCGCCTTGCCATTATGTTTGGGAAATATGCCTTCACATGTTTTAAAAATATAATGAATTCCTAATATGCTGGATGTGTTTACCTGCTTATTCTTATCTGTGACTTATGTATATTTATGAATTACTACCTCCATTAGTGCTTATAGGTACTCTGAATTGTAGAAGATACACAAAATTTTTTTCAAACTAACACTTGTCTTTTAAAATATTGTGGTATTGATGATTTAAATCAGAGGTTCTTAACCTGAGATCCTTTAGCTCGTTTTAAAAATTTTTTGATAACTATTACAGTATGATTGGTTTCCTTTGTAATCCTGTATATTTTATTTTATGCATTTAAAAACATGATTCTGAGAAGGGGACCATGGGCTTCACCAGACTGTCTGCCAAAGGGGGTCTATAACACAAACAAGGTTAAAAACCCCTGCTCTAGATGCTATTTTGAACATGTAGAAAAAGAGAAACAGAAAGACATTAAATGGCCCAACTGATTTGGGAAGTGGGAGGGAAGGTGGTTTAGATTAGTGATTTCATTGGTGTAGAGAACTTCCAGTAAGAAAAGTCACTCCATAGATGCTGGTTGGCAACATATCTGTAACTTAAAGAATTCTTTGGGACCTTGAGAACTTGTGCCTCCTGTGATGGCACTGCCAGTATCTGTCATTGGCAGGACTTGAACCCAGGTTTCATTGAGTCCAAGGCTGACCTTCTGTCACTTATGCCAGGCTGCCTCTGACCAAATAGTAAACTTTCTTAAATAAAAGTGGACTTTATAGGAGAATTTCTGTGAGGATTCTTGACTTTGTCATTGGTTTATCTTGAAACCAGGTCATCATAGTGACTTATCAATTAATCTTCTGCATATGAGCCTCCTTTATAATGGAGTAGTGTCTGTCTCTATACAATACAGATTAGTATTCTTTTGGGCATGTAGCATGATACCTTATATTATTAATTTTTCCTGTGTGCCACTGAGTGACAGATGTTTGAGGGGACAGATCTTTGGAGTGACAATATTTCTGGAAGAAATTAATGCAAACTGGCTTTTTAGTAAATGTTTCATTATTAGAAATGTCAGTGGAGAATTTAAAGTGTTGGTGACATTTATCAAAATGAAATGTGGCTTTAAATTGTAGCAATAATAGTAGGGAGAACTGGTACTAGAATTTTCATCGGTATAGGGAATTCCCAGATGAGGACACTCTCTCTACCATTGCAGGTCAGCACCTTCTCTGCAACTTTCTAGTCTTAGATAGAACGTTACCTAGAGCACAGAGCTACAAAGGGACTTGCCTGGGCTTACACAGGCAGCATTCATTAGGCACAGGGCTTGAATCCAGAGTCACCAGCCTTCTGTCTGCTCTGCCTGCAAAAGCCTTTACTAAGTGCTGTCCTCATAACAACCTTGTAGGATAAACAGTACCAACAGTATTATTCCCATTTTACAGAGGAGGAAACTGAAGGGCCCAAGGAAGAAGTTGACTCATCCATGGTCAGATAGCTAAACTTTGTAGTGTTCTTTCCACTACATCACAATGCCTCAACTTCTGTTTCAGTTTCAGCTTATAGCTAATGGAGATGCATTTGTGCAGTGCACGGTTTAAAATGTGCTCCATATTCATTTGAGGTGCCAGCTGTATATTAAAATTAAATGTTTGAGTCTGAAAACTATGGCATACTCTTTGTTAAAAGAGCATATGAGCCTTTACATTTTGATTTTAGTTTGTGGTTTTATTTATTACAAAGTTAGCTTTAATGAACATGAAGCTACTGACATCCCTTCCAGTTCTCCTGTTCTCTTTACAACTATGTAAGAAAGGATGTTTATTGAAAAAGTGTATGTGCTTCTTTTGTGTTCTACATTGGCAAGGTTTGCCTGCCATGTAGGGCATATAGATATACATCAGAAAATGACAGTGAATGGAAAAAGACCACACTCTTTTGTTTTATAGAAACCAATTTTCCAGTGTTCCACCATCTTAATATAGTTTGCTTAGCCATTTCCCTGTTGTTGAACAATTGAGTTGTTCATGGTTTCCCCACCTCTTATTGCTGTTAAGATCATCCCCGGGACAGCAGTATCACCGTGTCCATATACTTGTTTCAACATTAAGGTTTATCATTTTCATTTCTTTCACTAATTTAATAAGTATCTAATGATATCTTAAAGTTGACTTAGTCTTGATTCCTTTGGTTGTGGGTGAGTTCTACCTGTTTTCTACATGGTGATTTATTATATGTATTTGTTTTATGTGTAAACTGTGGAGTGAACTGTCAGTCCTACTTACGGGTACTCCTCTCTGTCCCTGGTAACAGAAGTGTACACTTTGTAGCCAGCCCGGTGCTACTATCGGATGTGAAATCAAAGCTTGTGTCAAGACTTACCATTACCACTGTGGCGTGCAAGACAAAGCTAAATATATTGAAAATATGTCCCGAGGGATTTACAAGTAAGAAACTATAGTTCTTGATCTTTCTTTTAAAAGTAAACAATTAAATAATTATGTTTCAAAAGAGCACCTTACCTTATGCTGCAATTGGTGTTCCCCATAGCTTTGGTAGCACAAAGTCAGAGGTGGCTGCACAGGCCGTTTCTACCCTGGCTCTACATGCCTGGGGAGAGAATTCCATCTGGGCGCCGTATTAGCCTATTTTCTCTGGGTCTTCTGATATTGCTGGGCCTATGCACTGATGGTGGGTTTCCATATTGGAGCAGCATTGCCACCTACCTATTCCATCAGATTTTTCTGCAGCTGCTTTGCCCACAGATAGGGAAAAGCGGGCATTCATTCACTGCTCTGACTTCTCCCCTATCCTATCCAAAGTAGAGTTAGCTGTCATCTTTTCATTGACCAAACTGGTTGATGGTTTGCTTCTGAGAAAAGTCAAGTATGTTATTACTTGCATAGGCTTGGCTTGTAACTATCCTGTTTATTCAGTATCTGACAACCTGGGTAGCAAAATATTCAGGTAAGCAGGTTGTTAGGGTCACCGTGCAGGGTCTAATTCTTGCTCACAAAATTGATCTGTTTATAATGTTATTTGCTAACATGGAAACTTAGAATGTATTTTTATTCCTCTTAGAAGAAGATAATCTTTATTTATCTGATGTACTAGAATTACTGATGAAAATAACACTGTCCCACCTACATTGATTTCTTTGAATTGATTGGCAAAACTTATTTCAGTTTGACTTCTAAACTGGGCACTAGGAATTGCGATTTGCCTGTCCCCTTTTTGGTCCCACATTCAGACTGGGTTCTAAAAGCCTGCTGTGTTCTTTAAATGGACTCTGAATTCTGTTTTTCACAGAAAATACTTAGATCCCAGAAGAGAACCAGGATACAAGAGGAGTTTTGTAGGACGGGCAGAAGCGTGGGTGTTACCCAGGTTTAAGTAGGGGAGATGACAGGGACTCTGTATCTGCATCAAGGATCTTAAGAATGAAGCAATGTCTTGAGATACCTCCTAAGGTTAAACTCTTGTCCTAACTCCATTTTAAGATTTGGAGTGTTCTCTCATTTTCTCATTCCCAAGATGCAGTATTTTTTTTTAATTTTTTATTTTTTTTTTTGGCTAGGCTTTGGGGTTAAGTGACTTGCTCAGGGTCACACAGCTAATAAATGTTATGTGTCTGAGGCTAGATTTGAACTCAGGTCCTCCTGAATCCAGGGCCAGTGCTCTATCCACTGCGCCACCTAGCCACCCCTATCTGTATATTTTTAAAGGAAAAAAAGTGTTGTAATGAGTCAAACTAGTTAAATCAGATTCCCATGCCCCTCCCCCCCGCCGCCTTTTATCTCTTTGAATTATGAGGAAAATTGACTTATGTTTGATTTAACATAAATAACTTCTAAGTTCCACTCCCTGCAGAGCATTTTGGTATATGGAATCTTTTTTTTCATTTTCCTTCTGTTCTGTCTCCCTACTAAGACTTTATGTTTATAAGCTTATCATATTTGATCATCCCTTATTTTGGGTCATAGCTGCAAGAGAGCATTCTATAAACTGTGTAATGCCACCACCTTGAGGGATTCATGTACCTTTTTATGCTCCTTTGTGCAGTTGGCCCTAAAGGCTGTACTCAGACCATCCCTATACTTTTTTGGGGTGGAAGGATATTAATTGGAATGAGTAATCATCTCTTCAGGGGTACATGAGAAGGAGGCCAGATCACCTTAGCAATTATTTTTGATAAGATAATTATTCAAATTAGCTTCAGAACTAATTGCCTTACTGATATCTGAAGAATGAAATTAAGTTCTATCAAATGGTAAACTGCTGAGCATAATGGAAATAGCTCGTTTATTACTGTCTAAAAGGCATACAAGCACCCCTGTAATTGATGTATCCCATTTATATGTATACCTACCTTCAACAGTGTAAAAGAGCAGGCCAATTTCACCCACTAATAGTAACATATCATGGGTTCTCAACAGTAGAAATCATATGTCATCTACTATTTCATCTAACTTTGTTTCCTGATGAATTTCCTCTTGTTGCTTTCATTGCTCTAGACTATACTGTAAAAACCATAGTGGAAATGATGAACGAGATGAAGAAGATGAAGAACGAGAAAGCAAAAGCCGGGGAAAAATAGGAAGTGATCCTAGTGGCTTCCCTCAGCAGCAACTCAATGGAAACTAGGTATGGAAGTTATTCCTGATACAGAGATGCCCATCATTCAGTGTGTTACTGACATGACTAAAATCAGGCAGATTCAAAAATACTAATGTGTTTAGTTGACAGCATGTTATTAGAGAATCCCTTAGGCTCGAGGAAGGTTCTGTAACCTTAGCTGATTTTGTAACAGTTTTAAAAGAGAGCAAGTGAGCCATTTCATCAATAAATGTAGATATAATGTCAAATTTGTAAGATACTCTTTTTTTTTTCCTGTTTTCTCTATTTTAAATTTACAATTGTTTTCATCATCTTTTGAACAGGTTCAAGGGACAGAGAGTTAGAAAACTGGGAATGAATAAGACATCCATAACTACTATTCTTTTTCACTGTTTTCTAAAATCAGAAAGGGTTAGGAACTTTCTACTGCCTGACGCTATTAGATCCTCCATTGAGCTGCCTGAGATGTTCATGTGTGTGAGCCTTCAATAAGTGGCAGAGTTTTACTTGTTGATATTATGTAGTTTGTAGTCTGCAGTGTCTGGAAAAAAAAAATAGAAACACTCAATGATATGTACAGTGTCAAAAGTTAAGGCAGACATTGAAATGAACTAAGCTCTATTTCTGGACTGAATAAAATTCTAAGATCTGGAACATGTAAAATGTTAGTGGATTCAGTATCAAGGAAAAGTTGAAGCTAGTTGTACTTCACATTGCAGACGTGGCCAGGGTGACAGCACAGTTAATTATGAGTTTTGTGATTTCTCTACACACGCAAACAATTGAGGCTACAAAGGAAGATGGCCTCTTGTTCTTCCTCTCTTTGCTTGGAAAGCACATGCAGAAAAGAATTTTTCTTTACCACAAAGTGTGCTAAATAAAGATTTTTCAGTTTGTTCCAGTTGAAGTTGTTCCCACTTACCAGCATGGACTCCAAGCAACTGGTGAGCTCCAGTGCTTACGCCAAAGGGCTGTGTGTATTTTCCTTTTCTAACTCCTGTTGCCTCCCTGCCTTGCCCATACACCTTTCGTCTTTCCAAAATATACCAACAGCTTTGGGCAAAAATGGTTGAAATCTTTATACTAACATATGGAAGCAGCAAATTAAACCTCCTTGAAATTTAAAGGGTCATTATTCACTGAGGAATTTAGCCACCGTGTCTGAAACCCACACCTCTCAAGTGCCCTGTTGTATGGAACACTTCGCATATTGGTCCCAAGTATGAAAGTAGGTCTTGTGTGCTATAGGAATAATAAAGACTCTTTTCATAAAGCAGCAGTATTTCTTTTGAGTATGTGACCACTATTTTAGAAACCGTATTTAACATTTTTGACTTTTTTGAGTCATTGCTTTGATTTTTATGCCCTACTGTTATCTTGTGTGTGTAGGGCTGGCTCCGTGTGCTCCTGATTGGTGATTCCTTAGGTGGGGGTTAATCAGTGGCTAACTGCTCAGTTCTCTTAAAAGAGTATTTTTCCACTGGCCCTTCTAGTGAATGATAAGGATAGTTTCTTGCATTTACTTATTGAAGCACATGAGTACATTTCTTTCTAATAAAACCAAAAAACCTTTGTGGTCTGCCTGATACTACCATAGCACCTCAGTAGCAAGGTAGGAATTCTGATTTTCTACATTTGAAGCAAATCGACAAGCAAGACACATTGACAACTTGACTGTACATTGAGAAGATTATTCTGCAGCTGATATAAACAGTTCCTTTTTTATGTAACAGGTGAAAACTTACACTGTGCTTAAGATTTTGTTGCTTTTTTACTGTTAGTATTTTAAAGCCACGTTTGTCAAATATATTTTCACGCATATACTTAAAACAAGGGACCCAATTATGGCTATAGTCAAACTTCTTTTTTTTCTTTTTTGCCTCTTTTTGTTCTAGAAGGATAATGTAGTTTTAGTAGGAGCTTGTCCTGTAGGTTATGAATGTTTTCTTTTTGTTCTAAATATGCCATTGATTTTTTTTTGTAAATATGATTTTCAAAATTAAACATGACTTGAATTGCAATGACAGATCTCTAGATAATTGTTTACCAAGGTATGTGACTTTTCCCCTAAAAGATCTGTACTTCATGAAGTTTCTTATAACAGGTTGAAAATGGATTAGTCTAAATCTTGAAATCACTGTGTCCAGATCACTTTTTTATATTGTGTGCCACAGGCATGGCTTACCCATGGAACAGAACACCTTCATTTCTGGACAACTACTGTATTGCTTTGAATTAAGGAAAATGTAAGGTGTTTTGGGTATTATGGCCAGTCTAATATAATTATTGTATAAACAAGGACTTTCAATGCTCTAGGTGTCAATTGCTGGATTTGGTCTTTAGTAAAAATTTAAGTGTGTCTGAGTTTCTTCAATCCATTCTGTGCCACTAGCAACCAGCATAGCACTTTACCTTTGGTTGACAGAACAAGTGGCTGGCTACCTATTCTTTCACTGTGGTGTGATGATTTGGCTAAATGATTTTTCATTCGTAATAAAATGTAGACTAAAGTCACATGAAAAATCACTTTGGGTCATAAACCTACAATATTCTAATTCTCTTCATATTTTTGTCATATGCTGAGTCAAAGTGCCTTACAATGTAAAAATTGTACAGTACTTATGTTCCCAATATCATCTTCTGGGTAGTAATTACATTGTGGTGTCAATATTTAGAAAAATGTACCTCAGCAGTGTATTTACTATACATCTCTTATGTCCTTAACTGTACTTTTATTAAGCATGAAAATTATTTGATCAGTATACAGCATCGACATAATTTTAAAAGCAAACAATACTGCCATTACTGTCTTTTATGCGTATTTTAGCTTGGAATTTTAAAGAGTGTCTTTTTCTTTTCTTTTTTTTTTTTTTAAAACAGTGTAATCTTTGCAAGCATATATTGAAGATTATTCTGGAGCATTTACTGCCTTACCAGAAATGTTAGTAAAGAAAGTTCTTTATAGTAGAAAGATAGACTTGAATTTCTGTACTTTTAATAAGACCTATTCGTTCCTAGAAAAGAAAACAATTTAATGGGTGTGTTTTACTTTCATTTCACAATTTTAAAGACTACAACTGAAAATAATTTATTTCCAAGATCTCTAATAATTTTAAGATTTCAGTCATTTCTTGCTCAGGAGTGCATCCTATTACTAGGCAAGTAATAATATAGATCTTCCATTGAGTCAACCTTTATATACATAAATAGATGCACATGAAATAATCATCAGCGAAATATCAATTTTATCTCAAAACAAACTAGAGAGGATCCTGGTGTGGTGCTTTTTGAAAAGCACTGAAGTTTGTTTAGACCACAGCCTGTAGCTTTTGCTCTCACGTACATCTACACTAAATACTAAGACAAGGAATGTGTTATGGGGTTTCAAACAAACAAAAACATTCCTCTCAACTATGTTATGTATATTTTGTTCTTGTTCTGTTGGCTTTTATTTCCAAAATTGTAGTTTGCAGTATTAGTTTCTTTTTATTGGTATTCTTGCATATATTCAATAAATGAGTTAAAACTTTCTTATTGGCATATGTCTTTTTTATGAGAGCATATGATAAGCTTATGGTTTCGCTCTATGAGCCATTATGTGTTGAATTCCTCTTAGCCTTGCATTATTTTGTGGTGAGATAGTTACAGTTTAATAACTGTTTGCTAACCATTTGTGGGAGGAAGGAAAATGCAAGGGTTAAGAATGTAAAGCACTATTGAAAGATCAACTGCTCTTTCTGTATCCTTCAGTATTAGAATCGTATCATTTTGGCCCAAATAAAGTGTTTTTATTTCTTTTGAAAATTCAGTGAAAGTTCCCCTCCTTCATCTCTCTCCTGCCCCAACCTCCATTACATCTTGACCTATTAGTACATGGATTTAGATATACTTGACTATATGTTCATGGGGACGTTACTCTTATAATTGTTATGATACAGTAAAAATCTGATACTAACCAGGTTATATGATGGCTATTAGTCCAATCTTCCCAATGTTAAAAAAAAGGGGGGGGAAGAGGAGGGGGCACTTCACTTTTATCAGTTCTAAATTTCCATCGATGCTAGGGCTGGCTTGACACTATGTGCAAAGGGTATGTTTGCTCAAAGTGACAGTACCGCAGATAGGGAGCAGATGTTTTATGTGTTCACTTATGTTTCCTCGGATTCTTCCCAACCTGACCTGCTGACTGACCTCAGGCGGGTGTGCAAGCATTGATCAAGGCAGCAAATTATACAAAACAGGTCCTAATTAATACAAGAACATGACAAAGTGTCTTGCTGTGTGTTGGTATGCTTTAGTGCATGAAGATTTCTTGATATTTTATGTGAAAATCCTATTTTGATCATATTTTTAATGAGCAGTCAGGATATGGATAAACAGTTGGTTTTTTTAAACTTAACTATGAATGAGCCTACTGTCTAATTACCTGCCTGCTTCAGTGGACTTCTCTCTAGTCACTGATAATGTGACTGAACTCATTCCTCAATAGTTAGCGTATTCTCACTCCATCATGTTTTCCTCATCCCAGTGATTCTGAACTCCACCAGTAGTCATTACACAAACCCCATTTCCTATCACCTACCCACTCCCTTATTCCCATCCCCCTCAACCCTAGCCCCTCAATGACCCACTGGAAATCTGCCTACCCCTACCACTGGAGCATCTGTCTGCTCCATAGTTAACAAACTTGTTTTCATCTTAAATGTTTTCCTTTCTTATTCCTTCCATCTTCCAGCACTCAACGAGTTCTCATAACCTTTTAATGACATAGCATCCCTGGCTACCCTTTCCAGTACCAATTCACTCATACCTATCAACTTACTGGTTTTGTTTGTTTGTTTGTCTGGGGGGGTGTCAGAATACTTCATTGCCACTTTCAAATTCTCCCTCTACCACCATCACTCAGCAACCTCTCTTCCTTTGAGATTCATTCAATCCATATTTATTACCCAATCAAGATTGTAGTAGCTGTTACTTACCAAACCCTAGGACACTCTCCTTTCTTCCTCAGTGAGTTCAAGTGCCTTTCACTTCACCCAAACTCGTCCTCATACTAGAAGACTTCAACATATATAATGATGCTCCATCAAACATATTAATTTGCCAGTTACTCAACTTAATCATTTTCCACTACCACTCTTCTGCCTTACCTCAGCTACACACAGAGACGGTCATGCCCTTGGTCTTTCCATTGGCCAAAAGTATTTCACTTACATGTTCATGAATACTGAAATTCTTTTATATGATCATAATCATTCCATATTTCTCTATATCTTACAGCCCTTTTGCTCTTTGTCCTCACCATGACTCCAATCCCTGCCCTCTCAATTTTCCCAGGCCATTACCCCTGGCACTGGCTACAGTATCATCCCTTTCTTATTGGCCCTGTGGTGACCGTGTTCAACTGTACACTATCCTCTGTACTCCCTTGCTCTTTTATCCTTCACTGATCATGTATTGCTAAGCCTCAGCCTTGACTTATTCCCTCCTCCAGCTGCCTTTCATTCCATTCATACACTGCTGAGTGGAGATAGAAAAAAATCATGAAACCATGCTGACTGAGTCCACTACAATATATGTTATATAATCTCAACTGGGACTTCACTGCAGCAAGGCAATCCTTTTTCACCTCCCTAGTTCTCTAGTAAATGGCTTTACGAGACCTTTTCATCCTTCCTCAAGCCTCCCATGGCACCCCTTCCTTCAGCTAATAACGTATTTCACTTTTTAAAATTGAGGCTATTCTTTGAGAGCTCCCTTTTCTCCCCTCCTCCTCATCTCACATCACCCAGATGTCTTCCCCCACTCTCCTCCTTCACCTCTGTCTTCTGAAGAGATGGCCTTTTTCACCTCCCAAACAGATTCACTGTCTCACTCACCACAGCAGCTTTTCCCAAACTCTGTCATCCCAAAGAAACCCCTCTTTATAAACCCTTAATCCAATTCCATCTCATTTTCTCCAGCAGAGTGCCCCCTCTATCATTCCCACTCATTCATTTTTACTCTCCCCCAATTACTGGCTACTTCCCTGCTGACAACAAACACATCCAGTCTCTTCTATCCCTAAAAAAGTGTTGATTCAACCATCCTCTCTAGCTATTGTCCTGTATCTTTCCTCCCTTTCATTGCCAAATTCCTTGAGGAAGCTATCTACAGTCAATGCCTCTACTATCTCCTAAACTCTTCATTCTGATTTCTGATATCATTTAACTGAAACTGCTTTTTTCAAAATTATCATTGATCTCTCATAATTACAAAATAGGAAGGCCTTTTCTCACCCCACATCCTTCTTGACCTTTCTACAGCCTTTGGCATTATTTATCACCCTTTTCTCATGGATACTTCCTGAGTTTTTGTTACACTGCATTCTTTTGGTTCTCCTCCTGCCTTTCTGATCCCTCAGTCTCTTTAGCTGGTTATTCATCCAGGTCACACCCAGTAACCATGGGTATCCTCTAAGACTCTTATCCTCTCATCCTGAGCCCTCTTCTCCCTATATACTATGTCATTTGGTGATCTCATGAGCTCCTTTGGGTTGAATTATTATCCTTATGGAAGTGATTCCTAGATCTTCACATATAACCCTTATTATAATATATAATCTTCATATTTAACTCTTTCCCGGAGTTATGGTCCTGTTATCATCAGCTGCCCATTGAACATCACTGGATGTCAACATATACTTCTACCCATCAAGTGCATATCCCACAGACATCTTAAACTCAACATGTCCAAAACTGAATTCATTACCTTTTCCTCACTAAACCCTCTCCCTTTCCAAACTTTCTGTTACTTCCCAGGGCACCACCATCCTACCAGTCCCCCAGGCTCACAACCTAGGTGTTTTCAATTTCTCACTCTCACTTGCACCCCATATCTAGTCTGTGCCAAGCCCTATCAATTCTCTTTTCAAAACATCTCTTTGATGCACCCCCTTCTCTCCTCTGACACTGCCACTGCCCTCACCCTGGTGCAGGCCCTCATCACCTCACATCGGGATTACTGCACTTGCCTGCCGGTTGATCTCCCTGCCTCAAGTCTGTCTCCTCCAGTCCATCCATTCAGCTGCCAAAGTGATCTTTTTAAAGTACGGGTCTGACTACGTCACCCTCTACCTACACAATAAATTCCAGTGGCTCCTTCTTACCTCCAGGATCACATATAGAACCTGTTTGGCATTTAAATCCATTCATAACCTGGCCCCTTCCCACCTTTCTAATACTCATATTTTATTTCCCTCTTCCTACTCTTATCCAGTGACACTGGCCTCCTCCTTGTTTCTTTCCTGACTCTGCATTTTTACTGCCTGTCCCTTCCTTACCTGAAATGGTGCCCTTCCTCATCTCTGCCTCAGCTTCACTGGTGTCCTTCAAAACCTAGCTCAAATCCTACTTTCTGCAAAAGGTCTTTCCAGATTTCCCTCAATGCTAATGCCTTTCCTCCATTGATTATCCCAAATTTGCCCTGTCTGTATCATATATATGTAGTTATTTGTATGTTGTTCCCCAATTATAATGTGAGCTCCTTGAGAGCAGAGATTTCCCCTCTCCATTTTTTTTCTTTTTAAAGCACAGACTTTTTTTTCAGTTTCAGATTCTTCTCCTTCCCCTCCCCCTCCCCCACCCAATGAGAAGGCAAGAAAGACAAAACTCATTGCAAATATGTGTAAATGTGCAAAACAAATTTCCAAATTAGCCATGTTCAGAAAGAAAAAAACAAGAAAAAAAATATGCATCAGTTTGCATTCTTGAGTCTATCAGTTCTCTATCTGGAGCTGGACAGCATGTTTCATCATGAATCCTTTGGAATTATAGCGGGTCATTATGTTGATCAGAATTACTGAGTCTTTCAAAGTTGATTATCTTTACGATATTGTTACTGTGTAGATCTGGTTCTATTCACTTCACTTTGCATCAATTCATATGTGTCTTCCCAGGTTTCTCTGAAACCATCCCCTTCATCATTTCTTACAGCACAGTAGTATTTCTTCACCTTCATATACGACAGCTTGTTTAGCCATTCCCCAAATGATGGACATCCCCTCAGTTTCTAAGTCTTTGCTACTTCAAATAGAGCTGCTATAAATATTTTTGTACATATGGATCATTCTCTTCTTTTTTTGTTGTCTTTGGAGTATAACCCAAGTGATGGTATTGCTGGGTTGAAGAGTATGCACGGTTTAATAACCCTTTCCAGATTTTTTTTCCAGAATGGTTGAACAAATTCAGAGTTCTACCAACAGTGCATTAGTGTGCCTGTTTTTCCATATTCCCTTTAGCATTTGTCATTTTCCATTTTTGTCATCTTAGCCCGATGGGTGTGAGGTGGTACCTCAGAGTTTTAAATTTGCATCTCTCAAAATATTGATGATTTAGAGCATTTTTCCATATGGCTGTTGATAGCTTTGATTTCTTCCTCTGAAAACTACCTATTCATATCCTTTGACCACTTATCAATTAGGGAATGGCTCTTATTGTACATTTGACTCAGTTCTCTATATATTTTAGAAATAAGACCTTTATTAGAGAAG